TTGTATAAAAGAAACTTGACTTCATAAAAATAGGCAATTCAAACCAGGTTGAATTTCATATGACTATCGGGAAACCTATCAAGTTTACAACAGCAACAACAACGAAATTTTTAAAAGTATTAAATTTTCTACTTGGAAAAGTGATTGAAACCGTGTAAAACATAACATAAGTTTGATTGTGATGGGGACGTAAACCCTACTTAATATATAAGCAATCTAATCGTCGACAGTACGGTATTCGAATCATCTCTACAGAAATAATGTGAGAAGTTTCTTAGAAATCAAGGAAGTCGCAACATTTATACATTTTGTGAGCCACAAAAAAGTCAGTACTGCAACAAATTAATTTATTTGGTTGCGAATAAAGCAAGCATGCTTGGAATTAAGGAATAAACTAACAAAGTAATGTCGGCTGCAAGAAGCCGGGCAAAACTCGCACAAATGACCAGGCAACTCACTTGCCGGCGTCGTTGGGTGCCTGAAATAAACTGCTGATAGCTCCTTCTTGAAGCCTGAAATGAACTGCTGATAGCTCTTTCCTGCAGCCTGAAATAAACTGCTGATAGCTCTTTTTTGCAGCCTGAAATAAACTGCTGATAGCTCTTTCTTGAAGCCTGAAATAAACTGCTGATAGCTTCTTTTTGAAGCCTGAAATAAACTGCTGATAGTTTCTTTCTGGAAGACTAAAATAAACTGCTGATAGTTGTTTCTCGAAGACTGAAATAAACTCTGATAGCTCGATCAGCTACTTCCATCCCGTGACTGGGGTGATCCAGCTCAGGGCAGCAGCCAGACGCGACATGGGATAAACGTGATTAAACGGGGCCAGTTTAGCTCCGGAAAATTGCTGCTGAGATGAACAGACTAGCAGTTAAATGGGAATAGGAATAGAAAAGTGATCTTAAAATAGTATAGGATGGAAAAGGTTTAAATCTAAATGTATGAAAACTACGTATCACATTCATTTTATGTCAAACGTTTTCTAAATTGCGTGGAGAAAATGAGTGTGAACACAGTTGTGTGTCAATAAAAATACATTCAACTAAACTTGCGCAATATTCGAAAGAATCAAAAGAAAGGCTTTAACTTCCGTACGTATACTATATATGCATACAAAAGTAACGATGAATGAGCTACCATCCCAGCGCAAAGATGCTTGTATATCTACGTGGGAAGCAATGCCAACACTCGTCTACTAAACGACCGCCAGCTCTGCCATATTTTCAAGTTGTGATAGATATACAGAGAGCCGTACACGAAAATGTCTTTTGACTCGCGTACACACGCAAATTTCGTAGATTAAGAAAAAATATAACTCACTACTCACTGCAGTGAGTGACAGAGCGCGCATTTTCTCGTCGACGAAAACGTGAAGTCACGGACGGACAGACAGACGGACATGTCGAGCACAATAGTGCAATTTTTTCCATAAATGAGAAAATGTGCTAAAAAGCTAAACAAAAAAACTGACATATTTAGGCACGACACATGCACAAGAATTTGGTCAGCCTCGTGCAGGCAGGCAGGTGGCCAAGTCCGGTCATCGTTGATATCACAAAAAATTGGAATGTTGACGATCAACGACAAAAAAAATGTTTACTGTACTACGCACTTCCAAGAGATTAAGAAGGAGAAAGAGATGATACATCTCAGGTAGGTATTCTTAACTGATGCAAAATGATCCTTAATGCTGATTTTAATTTTGCGCACAGGAAGTGCATTTAGTGAATTCAAGAATCAAAAAGTTTTGTCTTTAGTAAACTAAAGTATAAAAAAGTTCAGGCTGAGTTACTAGGGGTAATGAAGAGTGAGAGTGATTTCAGGATACTCGGTTCCACTTCTGGCTGCTCGGATTTGAGAATTTTGGAGTCTCTACTTATCTTCAAGCGAAAACCATGTCTCAATAATGCGTTTAGCTCATTTAATCTGGAAATAGTAAATCGCTAGGATTTTATATTCTTGTCGTACCCCTAGGACTAAGTTGTTCATAACTAGTCCTGTTTATTTCGATATAATGATAGGTCTTGTTTAGGCTTTATGTCTGTCTTTGAATTTTGACTTTTGAAGTGATTTTATTCATTTTAGTTTTAGTCGAACTGATGATGGAGCTGGACTCCGAAACGTTTTCAATATCGATATGGTGAATTTTCTTGGCGTTTTCTTTGCTTTTAAATTCCTTGAGTATTCTTAACTGATGCAAAATGATCCTTAATGCTGATTTTAATTTTGCGCACAGGAAGTGCATTTAGTGAATTCAAGAATTAAAAAGTTTAGTCTTTAGTAAACTAAAGTATAAAAAAGTTCAGGCTGAGTTACTAGGGGTAATGAAGAGCAATAAGTTTAGTAATTAGAATGATACCTAAAAAAATACTCTCAACGTTGCGATGTGCATGACGCTAGGATAATCTCAAGAAACAGTGCAACGCTACGACTCAATATTCATAAAAAATATAACTCCGTACTCACTGCAGTGAGTGACAATGAGCGCATTTTCTCGTCGACGAAAACGTGAAGCCACGGACGGACAGACAGACAGACGGACAGGCATGGCGAGCACAATAGCGCCTCATTTCCATAATTGAGAAAATGCGCTAAAAAAGAATGTTGATATGAATTTCATCGAGTTTTTTCCGTAACGATTCGTATTTATTTTTCTTCCTACCGATGTATAGGGTTAACAATGTCTTCGTAGCTACGGTACATAATGTCTATAGTTCAACCATAAGCCCTTACCACAACGTCCTTGTAAATATCAGTTGGCCAACATCGTATATGTGCCTTTGACACGCCGCAGGTATGATACGTTTCAAGAATGTGAAGTGTTGCACCATACGATGGCATATTAATTCAATACGGGCCATTCACAACACACCATACGCATTGGCAACCTGATAGTGATAGACTTGTTAAGAGACAGCAATGAATTGAAGAACAGACTGCTTCTTGAACGTGAAAGGCGATTTCATTACGAATAAAGTTAAACTGAAAATCGTGACTAATGCGGTGCTGGATGCCTCGTACATTCTCAAGACAATCTCAATTACAATTTTTAAAATGAATATTGTCTAAGAATTAGATATTCACCCGTCATATTCACCCAGCGATCCCTGGATGAACGTAATTTCACCCAGAATTATACAAAACACAGTAGGTATAGTATATACATACACTGCATCTATATAAATTGAAGAGTTTCAGATGAATCAGTCAAACGTATCAATGAAACCACAATTAAAGATGCGATTGAACCAGAGCAAAATATGCAAAACATTGCTCATAAGTCATATGAATCTATGCTCAATGTGGCGTCATATAACGTCCACATATGATGTTAAGTAACTAAAATCTCATAAGACGATTGTACTGATAGCATTAATTTCGCTCTAAAAAGGATAAATGTGAACGTCCAAGTCACTGTCCTAGTCGTCGCTTGTGTTTACATGGTTTGGGTACCGACGTTGGATGTGAGAGGAACATCCACGGACGCCATTGTTTCCAGCATAAAAAAGATCGGAAACGCGTTTAGCGCGAACGAACTTAACGACTCGTAATCAAAACGCCACGGTGCCGCCGTGTTATCCAGACAGCTGCGGTGCGATGAAGATAGAGCGGAAATTCTCCCTTTGCCCCCTAAGGGTCCTTGTTTCCTCTGAACGAGGTTTCTCACCCACTACAACCCTACTAGACGTGATGAAAGTACAGCCCAAATAACTCAGCGGTGTTTACCTTAAGATTAGAGGACGATTTGAGTTCAATGCTTGCAGCCGGGAACCACAAGTCGATCTTGTAACTGGTTTTCTGTCAAGGTCATATGACGATATGCGTGTGGGGTGTTCAGTAGCAGCAGCGGCTTTGGTCAATTTAATATACTTTAAGAAAGTGTAAGTACTCATTGAACGTAGATTTATGTAATTTCGAGAAAAAGTGTGATATGCAATGTTTAAGCACAAAACTTTGTGTAAATCGTGCGCTACAAATGAATAAAATCAGACGATATTTGAAAAAAATAAATGCAGAAATAAAATGTTAGCTAATTTAGCCTAACACTACCTTCGAGAACCTATAGTCATATTTTGGCAAATAATTTCTATGTAAATTATCTATAAATTTGTCCAGCACTAGGAAAGTAATTGTTTGAAATTAAAACCTGAGAAATTTCGGCAGCGCTCGCATCTAAAATGTCGGCAGCGCTCAACATCTAAATAAGTGCACATCTTGTGCGTACGTTGGCAGCGCTTCAGCATTATTTTGTGTCTTTCGATTAACAGTACGACTACACGAAACACGTGCTCAGCTGGCGCAGAGGTGCTACAAGATTCCTAGTTACCCCGCACGCTAGTCGTCGTATTGACGAACTCTGTCAAGACATTCAGGTCACACTTAGCCCAAGGTCAAAAGGCTTGCAGAATGCAGATGGAACGTGCAAGCTGTATTCACTTCGTTCCAGTTATAGTTCATAAATCTAATATGAGACACTAGTCACACGACAGCAATTCGTATCAAGACAGAGTAGAGAAATGTGACGGGACGATTTAGCAAGCCATATTTTAATCCGTAAATAACATTGAAACAAATAGAAGTTTAATTTACATATGATCTGTATAACGATTATGCAAAAACATTTTAAATTATTATTATTGTATTCATTATAAATATGCACAGAGTACTTTATCAGATAAAGATCGTTATAAGAAGCTGTATAGAACAGAGTCTTTATGAGCACTTGACTTTTATCTTCATGAAGTGTACCTATATAACTGATAAGATGTCAACAAGACAATGGTATAGTGTTACAGCATAATTCTCCCTTCTAGGGATTATCATGGAATTAAAAAGTGAATTTTGAATTGTATTTGCACCTTGAATTGCATAAAATATTAACCCCCATTAAAATAGAAAAGACATCACCTTTCAACAACACAAGATATAATGATTTCTAAAAGATGCCTTGCAACACAGACTAATTCACCATGATTTAATCACTAATTAGCTAAATTTACCTTAATAACCTCAGATGACTCTAGAACTTGTTTCAATCCTCCTTGACTCATTAATTGGCTTTCCACTTGCAGGTCAAAGATGTAAATTTGTCCAGTATAAACACCAAGCTGAAGAAGTGTCATTGGCCCAGAAGGACCCAAGTTAACCCCTTCTCCATCCAGGGCCACAGGTTTGCGTGTTGCCAAAATCCAGTTGGTGATTTGCCGACAACGTCGCACAGAGACAACCACTTCAGTATTCTGCAGCAGTCTCTGGCTGCACTGTTCTTCTGTCATGTTAGCAGGATCTATCAGGGACGGTGTGGGTAGTAAAGCATTGGCATTGCCACTCCTTTCTCGTTCATTATCAGCAATGGTTTTACGGAGTATTGTTCCCAAACGAGCTTTCAGAGTGTGACTCTTCTGTTTACTTTTCAAGCCTCCATTTGTGTAAGTTGCATCTTCATCATTTCCTGGAGGTGGACTGGGTGAGGTGCAATCATTATTATTCTTTGAATTATCTTTTCCTTTGTTCACTGCATTTAGAGTTTCCTTTAGAGTAAGAGAACTCTTTTGCCTTTGCAATGATGGTGGGCCAAAATTGCCATTCACAGAAGGAGGCAAAGACTCACTCATGGCAGGAGGAAGATTGTTACTAACTGGTGGAGAAGAAGCTTCATTTGAAGACATTATTCGAGGAGAACATGTCACGGATGGCAAAGACGTTGGAGAAGGAGAACTCAGTGTTGGGTCTGTGAATGGCTCCATTGCATCAAACAAAGATTTAGGGGGTTGCAATAAGTGGACACAATTGCTTTGTACACTGAATGTATTACCATGCATTTTCAGAAATGTACAGAGGTCACTGGGTGTGCGACAAATTTTAGGCCATACATTGGAAGGGCAAGCAGAAGCAAGACCATCAAACAATGCCTCCACATAGAGAGGCCCTTGAAGCAGAGCAGCTGCACAATATTGCATAACTTGCTGCATCAATCTGGGGTCCACCTGGGGCTGTTCAAGCTCCTTAAATGGTTGAGGTGTGGCACCTTCATACTCTTTAAGTATGATATTTTCCTCCCTAATGACAAACACATCAGGATATTTCATGAGAAATTCTTTGAATTCTTTACTGTGTTGGCCTGATACATGACGCACTTCAGGCGAGGCTTGAGACCTGTGTCCCAGAAGGCTCTTGATGGGGACTTCCGTGCCAGGCCCATACTGACGAAGCTTTCCAATGAAGTAGTCAACTGCCTCTTGTGCATAATCGCGACCGGCTAAACGTGCTACGGGATCACTTGGGTTATGGACACCATTGCTATAGTTTGTAACTGTGACGTAGTCACCATCGATTGTGAACAAGGACGGATATTGTTCCATAAACTTTCGGAGACCTGATTGGGAACCTCCAGCTATCTGCCGCATTTCTTTAGTAAAACCTCTAGTACCAAATTGACAGCTGAGGTCGTGCAGGGTTCGTGGCTCCCCTTTGTCCATAAGACGGTCAAGGAAGAACAAAAGGGTAAGATTCTTGACATGGTCGTAATCTTTTGAATCCAGATTCATCGAAAAGTATTCAAATAAAAAACACCTTACAAAAATACACGAATTTTTGCAAACCACCTACAGCATTCCAAGCGCACACCCACCCACCAGCACGGCTTAGTTTCTACTGAAGTCTGAATGCCATCAGTTCAATTCAGTTGCAGGTTAGATGTTTCGGCTACATTTATGTTTCTCAGGTAACATGCTTATTTAATTTAGAAGATGCAAATTTTATTAACAGAATCATTTATCATCACATTCATCTGGATTTTTAATAAGCACAAGTATTTATTTTATAGTTAACCGATAAATGCACACTGAACTGATGATTACCCTTCGCAAAAAAACCTTTAAACATAAAACGTTTGCATACTATATATATATAATTATCCCACGTAACCAATTAAACTTGAATACCTTTGAAATTATTGCAGAGTAATGAAAATTTTTTATGTCAAGACTAGAAATTGCATGTTACCTTGAAAATTCTTCAGTAAACACCATGCCCCTGACAGTCGCGACGTGTCAACAATCGGCTTTGAATTGAATCTAGCGTAGGACCGTAGGAAGCGATCTGCTGGGTTCCACTCCAGCAACTTTCTTTACAACATTGTTGAATTTACCAAACTTCAAGTTCTCGGCGGTACTCTCGTAAGTAAAACTAACTTTGTTTGTTTCTCATGTGTGTATCATTGACACATTTTTCCATGGATTCAATTTCATGTCTCAGCATTATCATACATAAGAAATTGGTTTAAATCTTGAGTAAATGAGGAGATTAAAAATGAACTGATTCTAAAAAATCTCTGGTTTGTCACTATGCATATAGGATTTCAGTAGGTATGAAATCTCGCGGCTTGAATGTCATAAATTTTTGTTTGATTGAAAAATTGCAGTTTGCACTTCACAAACTTGTCACTTCATAAAATTTTCAACTTCCGCAATCCGCATTGCTTTACCGTTCCTGCCAAAATATCCTGCAGAAAAAAAAACATAAACATCATAATGTAAACAAATCAACTAAACATTTTCTTGAAGATCGCACATTGTTGCGGTCATGTCAAAGTGGTCAGACTGCATTAACACATGCTCAACTTACAGTAAGGACAAATTTTATCTTTGCCATTTGACTGTTTTAGGGTAAAATTAGATATTTGGGGTAACACGTGCATGGACTTTGTAAATAAATTCATGCCTCGTAAATGGCTTTTCATGGCCCAGATATGGAATTCACAGCTCGGTGAAATGGAATCACGGCTTGAAGAAATGGAATCACGGCTGGCAAATCCATGAAACCACAGCTCAAAAAATTCAGTCATGGCTCGCCAAGTAGATATATTCCATGCCTGACTTCAAGCAAGTGTGGAACGTATCTATCCCCCAGTGCCAGGCAGATACTAGGGCCTACCCCTACCAGCCTAGGTCTGGACTCGAGGCAATACTTGATAATTATTGCATTAATAACTAGATAAAGTATTTTGACTTCAAGCCTCAACTTCATCTTCAAGGCAATGAAATATGAATTAATGTTCTAAACCGTGGAACACAATTTTTGAGCCACAAACTCACTGCCAAAGGCCAAAACTGGCAAAAAGGGCAAACCTGGTATATTTTATTCTATACTGTATACATTCATAAGATACCCTCAAATTTTCAAGAAAAGAAATAATCTTCTTTTCATAATATATTTAAGCATTTGATATTTATTTCCATGCTGCAGTTTGTTGATAAAAGATAACTCTTTGACACGAACAACTACAAAAAAAATCAATAAAAATCTATTGGGCATGCAAAGTTTGCTAGGAGCATTATAAAAAATACACAGTTTTTGAAAGTTGTAATCAATAAGCAAATGTTTTTAATCTTGGCATGTGGTACTTAGGTCAACAGAATTAATTTTGTCATTCTGTGGCCTGTGCTATGTTGAGATTGAAGGATTCCTACCTAAACCTAATACCTATTAATAACTGTTGTGAGTTGTGGCTAAGAAGCAAAATCAAATCTTGTGGCTTGATTGTGCACTTTTGTTACTAATTAGATAGGAGAGGATTCATCTGGCAAAAATCTTGGACTAGTTGCTCCAAAAATTGCAGCTTGGAAAATGGATATTTTCCATGCCTGTGCTTTGCTAAAAATTAGCCAAGTAGTAAATGTAAAATGTGCATGCATTTGAATCAGATTTTATAGTGTGCTCAAAAATCAAAATTGTTGTGATAAATTACTCATCTTGTGTAAAAATTGATCTCAGACCTCGCTTTTGGAAAACCTTGACAAACTGGTAACATTTGTCCTTGTCTATTCATGGAACACTACTATAAACTATTCATAAAAATATTAAAATACTGATATATATAAAATGTGCTCATTCTACAATAACTGCAAATGTTTGTTTAATACATTATTTTTTTCAATTTACAGAATAGCAGAGTTGGCACACAATCTCTCCCACCTCTCTTCTGCTTCCAAATTACAATACCATCACAATGACAAAGCTTGTTGAGTGGGTAATGACTGGAACTCTTTTTCTAGTTCCCTGGTTGGCTATTGTCACAAAAAAAGTAAGTTTAGTTTTTGTATTTATTTCATTTCTAACTCTAAGTATTATTGTTGCACATTTTGAAATTCATAATTCATCTATATTGACCTAGTTCTAAGGTAAAAATAACAATTTATTTGTCCATGTAAGAAAAATATGAAATGAAATTTATTATTATTTTTTTTTTTTGAGAGTGTAAAGCATTGCACATAACAGGTCATTTGCACTATCCCAAAGACACTAAGGTTTAGGTGATGCAAATTGACATTAGAAAAACAATTTTATGTAGTGGATGCTTTTCATGCCATTATTACCACTCAACATAGAGTTATGAACTTATGGTCAAGATGGATCATGTTACACAGTAACCTTGGACTCTCAATTCTGTTTGGTCTCAATTCATGATTACAAATAGACATGCTATTTTATGTGGATGCTAATATCTGGTCAGCAATAGTTTTATTGATTCGCAGAGAATGCCAATTCAAAGTACAAAAAGCTGATGAAATGCTTGCCTAGATGAATAGAAAGGTCTTGGATATTTCGATTTTGATTCATCTGTTATTTTGATTTGATTCAGGAGATGCACTTGTCACAAGCAGGGAATTTTCTTCTTTTGTTTACATATGAAGGTTCTTCTTTCTCAATGTTCTTTGTTGTGAGTTGTGGCTAAGAAGCAAAATCAAATCTTGTGGTTTGATTATGCACTTTTGTTACAAATTAGATAGGAGATGATTCATCTAGCAAGAATCTAGGACTAGTTGCTCCAAAAATTGCAGCTTGGAAAATGGATATTTTCCATGCCTGTGCTTTGCTAAAAATTAGCCAAGTAGTAAATGTAAAATGTGCATGCATTTGAATCAGATTTTATAGTGTGCTCAAAAATCAAAATTGTTGTGATAAATTACTCATCTTGTGTAAAAATTGATCTCAGACCTCGCTTTTGGAAAACCTTGACAAACTGGTAACATTTGTCCTTGTCTATTCATGGAACACTACTATTAACTATTCATAAAAATATTAAAATACTGATATATATAAAATGTGCTCATTCTACAATAACTGCAAATGTTTGTTTAATACATTATTTTTTTCAATTTACAGAATAGCAGAGTTGGCACACAATCTCTCCCACCTCTCTTCTGCTTCCAAATTACAATACCATCACAATGACGAAGCTTGTTGAGTGGGTAATGACTGGAACTCTTTTTCTAGTTCCCTGGTTGGCTATTGTGACAAAAAAAGTAAGTTTAGTTATTTGTAATTCTTTCATTCTAACTCTAAGTATTATTGTTGTACATTTTTAAAATCCTAATTCTTATATATTGACCTAGTTCTAAGGCAAACATGACAATTTATTTGTCCATACAATAAAAATTTTTAATGACGATAAAATTTTTCCTTAGATTTATTTTTTATGAGACCATTAGGTATGGCACATTATTATATGCACATAAAGGGTCATTGACACTATCCCAAAGACACCAAGGTTTAGGTGATGCAAGTAGACATTAGAAATAACAATTTTATGTAGTGAATTTTTTTCATGCCATTATTAACAAGCATCATTGAGTTATGAACTTATGGTTGAGATGGATTGTTGTACACAGAAACTTTGGACTCTCAATTCCATTTGGTCACAATTTGTGATTGCAAATAGACATGCTATTCTATGTGGATGCTAATATCTGGCCAGCAATAGTTTTTTTTATTATCAGTGAATGCCAATTCAAAGTACAAAAAGCTGATGAGATGCTTGCCTAGATGAGTAGAAAGGTCTCGGATATTTTGATTTTGATTCTTCTGTTATTTTGATTTGATTCAGGAGATGCACTTGTCACAAGCAGGGAATTTTCTTCTTTTGTTTACATATGAAGGTTCTTCTTTCTCAATGTTCTGGTAAAGGAAGAAAAGGCTTCCCATAAATTTTTGTTCTTGTCTCAATCAATTTCTTTCATCACTTAAATTTGTCAAACTATTTGTTACATGATTTGAGTTTGCTCCTACTTAAGCCATGAACATAAGCCATGTACATTCAATAAAACTTATATAATTGGGATTTTTGAGTTAATGACCATAGGCTAGCGAAGATAGTCTAGTTTGACCAAGTGAAACTCTGTAGCCAAATAATGTAAAATCTTGTGCTTTGTGCAGTTTGAGAGTGGCTTCACCCGTGAGTTCTACGCCCAAATTCTTTTGTTGCCGTTGCTGCTGGTAGCTGCTTTTGGTTTTATATCTGTAGGTATTATTGCCTTCAGAGTCTACAACTTCAATGATTGTCAAGATGCTGCAGAAGAGCTTAAGCAGCAAATAGAAGAGGCAAAAGAAGACCTCAAAAGGAAGGGCTTCAAATTTGACAGCTAACATTAAAATTAACTTGAACAAAGTTTTTTGACAGTATGTATCTTGTTACATAGGATATAATGAATGAAAATTTCTTATATTTTCAAAAGAAGTAGAAAATATAAAAAATTTACCACCAAAACACATTGTGTTGGTGATTAACTGGAAAAAAGGATATATAGATATTAGATACCAGTATATCAAGTTTTTAATCACCATTAATATGGCAAATATTTTTTCATTAGTAATTTGGTTGGTTTTGAATAAGTTTTTTTTTTTGTAAATTTGTCATTAGCTAAATTGCAAACTCCTGGGGTCGTTCATTATTTTGTTGGGTGCTCATTAGTACATGATTGACATTTTTTTCTATAGCTGCAATTGAATCCTGAATCATTTACCTGATTGCTTGAATTCTGGCTTGGCTCACAATAAACAATCACTCATTTGAAATATTGCTTACTTTTATTTTCAATTTCAGTTAGGCAAGAATTTTTATTTCAATTTTTATTTTTTTATCTTTCTGCACTACATTTACATATTGTTAATATCAAATCAATCTTGATTTCTGACAATTTCCAGGCTTATTTATGTAAGACCAGCTGCTCCATCTCCTCATGTATATTATAATTGGGAGAAATTACTTCAATTTTATAATATGCTTTTTCATGGACAATTATTAATTTATCAATTAAATATTCCATGTAAATGCCTGCAGGAGGGCTCTGGTGAGCAGTTGTGTAGGAATGCGACGTGATGTTGTTAGTAACTTAATTGCTTTAGCTCGGTAGCTCGGGATAGATAAGAATGGTGTATATTTTATAGCTTCGCTATATTTGTAATAATTATTTTTTATGTCGTGCGGGTCAATAGTTTGTTCTAATACAGTTCACTGAAACGTTTGAACTGATTCAATTTTCTTTAAAAATGTGTGCAGTGCAAGTTTTTATTGTTTCATCAATATTGTTCATTAATATTTCAGTAGAGCGTTCAAAATTGGCGAGGTCAAAATTCTATGTTGCCTCAAATAGAATCGTACCATTGGATTTTATTTAACTCGTTCATTTAATTAAAAGGACGAACAAGGATAATTTCATCCAGGGTTATGGGCTAAATCACCAGCCAATTGCTCACATTTATCTAGCGTGGCTTTAGATCTGGGGGTTCCAACCGACTATGTTTCGAGTATATTTTGGTGATATTGCTCGCATGTGTAATACTGACCGATAATTAGATTATACTGATGGCATGTATAGTGACTGCTGTGTCATAGGCTAACCTTTGGCAGGAAAGCAAGCAAGCCATGCAGTTTTCTATTTTTTTTATGAGAATTTACCATCGAATTATGGGAAATCGCATTTTTAGTCTATGGCACCCCGGAAAGTGTTGAATGTGCTGCAATATTGAAAGTATTTTGTTGATCTGAACGCGCACTTGAGGCACTGATGCCTTTTTGGTCGAATATAAATCATATTTTTAATATTAATTTCGCAGCTATGCTGGATTGTTTTCCTTAAAATTAAATGAAAAATACAGCAGGACTAATCCACTGAAAATTCGTTGTCGCTATCTGGGCGCTTACACTATTCGTATATCACTCTTACATTGAAAAAAATGTTTCCAGAGCTTCCATTTAGTTCTCATAAAGATATATTTTTTATCAAGGGTTTTTATATCCTCTTGAGCTCAAAGGCCGAAATAAATTTTCATCCAAGGTCGGTCTAAATTTTTTTTGCACTACGTAGAATTACGTAGGATTATTTAACTTGGGAATTTTTAGTGGCTTATGATTAATGAAGGAAAGGTTACATTTTACGTGTCTCTCAGCTAATTCATTGGGATATTCTACGAGCCACTTGACCAACTGATTGAAGGCGAGACCTGGCGAAGTTAGTGCAGTCATTTTTCTGTAACAAATTTATTTTGTACCTCAGGGGACAACTGTAGTCTTGCCATCACAAAATTGGCCATCGTTCATGGATAGATTCGGTGCAGGATATTGCTCAGAATTGATCAGTAATTTATTTAGGTAATGATGCATGGTACGTTTTAATGAGAAGCGGTATAATTATTGATGGCTATATTTAATTATTGAAATCACAAAGACAGTCAGACGTGTTTCAGATTTATTAGTTTGAAAGCTCAAAGTGGATAGCAATAAAAACTACATTGTTCGTAATAGTAATTAATGTTTATATCGATGCGAAACTCGAGCTAATATCTTGTTCATGAAATGTAATGATTTGCTTCATCGTTGAACAAAATTTTAATCAAATTGCAATTATGAATAGGTGTTATTGAATGAAAAGGCGAAACGGAAGTGAAAGATACCGAGAAGAACAATAATGACCTCTATGCAAGAAATTATGCGTCTTGACTTAAATTACGAATCACCGACTATATTACCTCATTGTTGCATACATATTTCATAATAGAACGCCACTCAAGCACATATATCGGTAATAGACTAATAGATAATAATTTCCTAGAGTAGCTAGTAACAAAGTATATACATACAGCAGAGAAAAATAAATATGAAGAATGCCGAGGCTAACGTTTGGGTAACAACAGCACTGTGACCGTGATTCGTGGTAGATTTTTTCGGAAATCGTAAGTTACATGTAGGCGGGACTAACATTAATGTTGGCTTCAGGTCCGGCGATGTTTCGGAGAGTTGACAGGATGTGGACTTGATGTTTGACTATTTTTTCATCTCAACAAATTACTAGGCAGGCGATATCAGCTGCACATTTATCAAATAATTTAGCGGATAATAAGTCCTGCTAATAATTCATTGCTTGCGCTTTATAGTGCCACGCTAATTATTGATCGATGACTTGCTCATTAATTTAAAGGACTAAATAAAAATTGGCCAATTACCTGCATCCAGGGAAGCTGAGGTTGAAAGTGGATGAAATTGACAGTAATAAATATGAACGAAAAATGTAAGACAGAAAACAAGTTTTGAACGAGAAATTCCAAGGAATGGAGGAGTAGCTTGGCAGTGAGAGGAGAAAATCACGTCCTTAATATGATTAATAAGAGTAAGCTAGCTACAGTGAATACTTAACAATTTATTTCAAATAATAAAACTAAGTTGCACTGCTATACTTAAGGAATATAATGCCTACAAAATGCACATCTATTGGCAAACAAAGAACATTCCGTACACTTGATAAGTTTTCCATGCCCGAAGTATTATTGCAATGCGGAGCGGTGCCTTTATAACATAACAAGATAACGCAACATTTTACGTCCAAAAATGTCGATAGAATAATTTTATCAGATTACTCAGCTCCGTCGAAAAATTTCTAATACGAACTATACAACAAAGAAAACTTATACATTTATACATGTATAAGTATTATATACTGTTATACAAAGCCCAGACTATATATACCGTACTCTTATACATAACCCAGACCATTTCCAAATTAAACTTTTTTATTAAATCTGGAAATGAAACTTTTTTAAATTTAATTAAAGATCTTGTGTAAGCATCTTTGATGTCGTTAAATGTTCATACAGATCTGGATAAAAGTTTTTCTAACTTAAGAAATAAATCCTATTTTCCACAATAATTAACTATTATTATCGTGTCCACGACTGAAGCGAGAACGCTATATACACTTCACAAGGACATACAACATAACGACGATATGATCGAATAAATACCTGATCAAATTCTCGTGAGACGTCGAAATTCTCGAGTATTTGCTATAAATAATTCTGAGGAGACATTGGCTCCAGAACTATCCTTGCTTGATGTTTGAAAATACGACAGTTCAATAATGCAGCAGATGCTCTTGCTTTGCAAGATCCAAAATCTAGACGATAACATCTGCGTCCCTTGGGGATATTGTACAAGTTTAGAAGGAATTTACATATTAATAAGCGCGTGAATTAAATTATTCTCAATCAAATTTCTAGGGATCTATTAATGTTACCACGGAATCTTCAAATCTTATCGTTTCCATAGAATAATTAAAGCAAAACAAATGACGATGAAACTGAAAATATAATTATGAAAATTTCCATCGTATTTTTTTAAACGTTACTATCATGAAAAATAGTTTGTTACAACAATTTTCTCGGAGTATTTCCTATATGAAATATAGCTTCCGTAAATGTTCGAAGCGAAACCCCAAATCGTCGAGTTTATGTTGCCTCTAAAAATAATCTATGCTAACAAACAGAATTTATTCATAAAATTCGTAACAGTAATTTAATCATAAAATTCCTAAACAAATCCAGCACATTGAGTTTTAATTGGCTGTCAGCTTATAATAAGAGAACTGTATACTAAAACCTCGGAATGAAGTCTTTGCATGGAGAATAATTATAATTAAGTATAATTAAGCGAATCATCCAATGAGTCGGCATAACTTTCATCAGCGCTGACATACATACAGCAAGGAGTCTTTCAACCCAGATTGTCGGACACACATTTCTTTATAAGCCTCAAATACCCTCATTTTGATAGGAATGCACTATTTTGAATGCAAACTTCTGTTCCGAGATTTAATGATTACAGAGTTCGTATGGCAGATGCCTGTCTTCGCATAGGTGAGCCAAAAATTAGATGAGAATTACGCAGGGAATTCTCTTATACATAACCCAGACCATTTCCAAATTAAACTTTTTTATTAAATCTGGAAATGAAACTTTTTTAAATTTAATTAAAGATCTTGTGTAAGCATCTTTGATGTCGTTAAATGTTCATACAGATCTGGATAAAAGTTTTTCTAACTTAAGAAATAAATCCTATTTTCCACAATAATTAACTATTATTATCGTGTCCACGACTGAAGCGAGAACGCTATATACACTTCACAAGGACATACAACATAACGACGATATGATCGAATAAATACCTGATCAAATTCTCGTGAGACGTCGAAATTCTCGAGTATTTGCTCTAAATAATTCTGAGGAGACATTGGCTCCAGAACTATCCTTGCTTGATGTTTGAAAATACGACAGTTCAATAATGCAGCAGATGCTCTTGCTTTGCAAGATCCAAAATCTAGACGATAACATCTGCGTCCCTTGGGGATATTGTACAAGTTTAGAAGGAATTTACATATTAATAAGCGCGTGAATTAAATTATTCTCAATCAAATTTCTAGGGATCTATTAATGTTACCACGGAATCTTCAAATCTTATCGTTTCCATGGAATAATTAAAGCAAAACAAATGACGATGAAACTGAAAATATAATTATGAAAATTTCCATCGTATTTTTTTAAACGTTACTATCATGAAAAATAGTTTGTTACAACAATTTTCTCGGAGTATTTCCTATATGAAATATAGCTTCCGTAAATGTTCGAAGCAAAACCCCAAATCGTCGAGTTTATGTTGCCTCTAAAAATAATCTATGCTAACAAACAGAATTTATTCATAAAATTCGTAACAGTAATTTAATCATAAAATTCCTAAACAAATCCAGCACATTGAGTTTTAATTGGCTGTCAGCTTATAATAAGAGAACTGTATACTAAAACCTCGGAATGAAGTCTTTGCATGGAGAATAATTATAATTAAGTATAATTAAGCGAATCATCCAATGAGTCGGCATAACTTTCATCAGCGCTGACATACATACAGCAAGGAGTCTTTCAACCCAGATTGTCGGACACACATTTCTTTATAAGCCTCAAATACCCTCATTTTGATAGGAATGCACTATTTTGAATGCAAACTTCTGTTCCGAGATTTAATGATTACAGAGTTCGTATGGCAGATGCCTGTCTTCGCATAGGTGAGCCAAAAATTAGATGAGAATTACGCAGGGAATCTTAAACTATTTTCTTGACATTGATCGTACAATTCCCAAATAAAATTCCAGGCATTCATCGCTCCAGTAGTAGTACGAAAGAGGCTTTCTCAGAATACGTAAAATAAAGTAAGCAGGTAAGGCTGATCTATAAACAGTCATCTCGTCCTACTTCAGAATGCATTAGCAATAAAATAAAACATGAATGAATCTTATATTCATGGGGCATTTATCGTTTCGTCTCACCACGGGAATCGACGAAACCTGTGACTGTCGAAAAGGAGCCCCGGCAAAGGACCTCTGCCGTGCATGGTGCCGCGCAATACGCGATCAGGATCCCTCCTGTTTACTCTCTTGTTACTCACTCTGATTGGGATAGTATCGTGATTTTTTATTTTGATTGCTTCCGCGCTGTTCTCGACATCAGTTTTTCTAGTTGCGTCGATTATCTCGAGATGGTCAGCGGTTGTTTCGGTAGTTTTGTTCAGTTCGAGGTCAGGGTCAAGGTCAGAGTTCACAACGCTTGTCTGAGATGTGCCTACATGGATTAATTCCGATATATTTGAAATCTGCGCACCGAATTCATACGAATCAAGTTTATCTTCATTGTTGACCTCAGGAGTGACACCTTCAAATCTCTCTATGGCATTAGTTACTTCGTTATGAACGATACCTTCATCAGGGTTTTTAGGGACATTTAAAGCGTTCGCTGTAAAAACGGTGGTGATTTTGTGAATTTGTGGTGCATTTTCTTTCACTACCGGGACAGTTGACGCATGTGTGTGGTGCTGAGCGTCAAAGAATTGCTCAGTTGGCACAATTACTGATACGATCCTCGTCGGAGTTTTTGCTGCAGTTGCTTTAGTATCATTAATATTCGCATAAGTGTGCTTCGAATATTCGGGCACGGTGGCCATTGATTCCGATGACTCAGTGTGGTGAGAAGTCGAAGCCTCGGTACCTGGGCCTTGTCCCTCAATAACAACAGCATCATATTGAGCAACTTCGTTAGATGAATTAATTATGGAATCAGGCGAATTCGGCGTAGCGAGTAGAGAGCCTCCGCTCTGAGATGTTGATATTAAATCCAACTCATCAGTTGACGTTACTGTGGAACCAAGGCCGGTACTAGCAAGATCTTCTGCCAAGTAGGAAGTCGCATTTACCTTTGTTTTCATCGTGAATACCGTGGGAACTGCTGCAACAATATGAGTGCCAGACTCAAAGTTGATTGTCTCATCCTGCTCACCCTTTACATTATAATTTTCATTTTGATTTAGAACATCTGAAATTTCAGGCAGAGTGTTCCCCTCTACCTCTAACACGCTACTCAGGGTCGTCAAGTCGATTGCCGTCGAAAACGAATCAGCGGCCAGTTCTTTGATTGGGACCTTATCACCATGAGAGTAATCGACGGTGATCTTAATCACGTTTGTCGACTCAGTCGTAGCTTCACTGCCAAAATGGATAGGTTGATTATTATCGATGGATCCAGTCTTGATCGAAGTATTCGTCGATGGTGGGAATTGTACGAAATTCGTGTTGATATTGACGTAAGTCGTGTCGAATAAGTCAGCTGCAGTAGCTAAGTCCATAGAGGAATGTGGCAAAGGAGTTTGGTTTTCGAACACATGAATGGGTATGTGTTGAATTTTATCGATGGGGACTGTGTGAGCCTGAATAGTGTGTGATATGTGGGATGCTTGCGGTGCCGTCTCCAGAATAGTGACGACTGCATCCGTCACTTTTGGCGGTGTAGGAGCTTTATGATGACCTGAACTGTTGGCTAGATTTTCGACAATGTTCGGCTCCTTAGAAACTCCAGTGCTTGCTGATGTTGTTGTAAGCGAACTAGAAGTTGTTAACGATACCTTCGAAGCTTCAATAGAATCTGTTGAGTCACCTGGATTCTGGTGAGTTGTTTCAGCGTTGGGGTCTTCCGATAAAACGACAAGTGGCGTAACTTGTGTAGAGGTTTGTTTTGTAGAGGGTGTAGTTGGCGATGTAGAACTCGCTGTAGAGAAGTCAAAGTCATCAGTGAATTGAACATTCAAAATAGCCTCAGGTAATTTAGATTCTTCGATTGCTACATTTTCGGCTTTTGTTGCTGTAGGTACTTCTTCCGTGAAATTATCGGTGGCGGAGATCAAACCTGTCGTCAATATTGGTTTTGAAGTTGAAGTCGGTGTAATTATGTAGTTAGTTTCTTTCAAGGCCGCCAGCTGCTTCTTGAAGGCGTCGGAATATCCCCAGCAAAAAGCTGAAAATAGAACGATTAAATTATATGATCCCGTCAATGCAGAGATAAATTTACACAATCATCCTTTACGGAGGTTACCGCTCTAGACACAAATTCGTCTATTTCACTATACTTTCACCAGGAACATATACGTGACGTTTTACGTTACGTTTTTATGCGTGACGTAATTAATGCGTTAAGAAAATTTCTTTGGTTCGATCTTATCCTTTAACAAAACGTCGCAATTTTTTAGGGTCTGATAACAAAAATATTGCGAATTAAAGGGTATAGAAATATACCCTCCTATTGAAATAGACTTAATGTGAATAGAGTTGAACATTGCTGAAATTTTAATACGCGGGCTTTAAAGCAAGAGCCCGCAACTAATGTTAGTATTTTGCCTGCTAAGTTCTAAAATCCTTCGTTCATGCAATGTAGGCGTTATGAATGTAGCTTCATAACGTGAAGAATATTGCAGCACATATTGGGTAAAAACTTAATAAATCTAACTATTTAGTTTATTTAGTCACCAGCGACATCGACGCCGACCCCCCAGTTGTGTTCGGAGCTTATCTTCCTCCTGCGAGGGGCGGACCTGAAGACCAGCGTCAGGTTCTTCGGGACTGACGTCGACCATATTTGTGCCCCCGACACCTTCTGCTGACGTGACAAGGGGCCGCAGTACCTACGTCCCAGAAATATTGTTAACGAACGTAATATTGTCGCTTTATAGAACAATATACGGATAATCCTAATACCTGGCCGATCATAACATAACATGACATAACATAACATAGTGATGTCAGCGCTGAAGTAGAGGCCTGATGTGGCCTGTCGCTGATTCTTTTCCTTTTTGTGCCTTGTTCATATTAAATTGACGTGATTTATTGTAGAAGCCGGTATCGGTTCCTTAGGATTATGCCCAAATAAGCGGCCTGTACACTACTACGTAACCCTAATCATAAAAAACTGATAAGTGACCCAAGTCATAACCGACCAATATGTAACTCAAATTACAACCGATCCTATATGAAGACATTACCTGCTCACTCTTGTCTCCGTTATAGACCACGTCTAGATGGTCTTCAGAGCAACCGACCCTATATGAAGACATTACCTGCTCACTCTGTCTCCGTTATAGACCACGTCTAGATGGTCTTCAGAACAGGCGTGGGAGCGCCTGATGAAGCTCGGGGCGAGGGAGTAGACCAGCATGCCATACTCGCAGCTAGGCCCGATCTAAATAAAAAAATAGCTCAAGTTAAATTCAATGAATGAAAATGAAAGTGTGAACAAGGTAAAAATATTTTGAGAAAACTTTTTCCTGGGACCAAATGGAGCTAAAGCGAAGGTGAGTTTGAATTAAAAACCGCTACTCACCTTCTTATCAAGCATGGTAGCTACAAACTTATTCTATATCTGGACCGAATTTTGTGCCCTAGTCTTATCTTGTGCAGCAAGTCTTATCTAATGTCGAGTTTACAATTCCTGTTTTATTTAAAATTTATTCACCCCAAGGCCTAAACCATATCGATCAGCCGTTAATCTGAGCGAAAACCTCCCAATTTTACGCGTTGCAATTACTCTTCTGGAGCGTCGATCGCGTGACCACCAATGGGCAATGGAAATATACATCACCTAATTTCCTCATTTTGATTAGTGGCTCAAAATGTACAAACGATGTCATAAGTTCGTAACCATTCAGGCTTAAATTATTCTCGGTTAACAACGGCGATAACATACAACTTTCCTTCTGCTCAAAAGGTGTTTTCTTCACTCTGTCTCTTTATGAATACCCTGAGATATTTCCAACCACTGCCCTGCATCTCCAACACCTTTTTATCTACAGTCACAGTCCTTGATTCTTCAAGTCTTTGATTCCGTACCTCCCCAGCGCAATCCGCAGTGCAAACAGACCCGGATTCCCTTTTTGAGTTTCCAGTTTGCTTAAAATCCGAGCCTTTGAAGTACGATTAAAAACAGAGCGCGAATGAACATCAAAGGATAGAAGCGCATCATGCTATGTATAAATGAACATTCGCGAGGTATTATTGTTAAAATATATTCAAATATCTAGACGTGCATCGTGAAAACTGATAAGAGGGTTGCAACTGGACGTGAGAATTGTGTTTGTGGTTTTAATAATTTAATAGCTGCACTAGAGCATAAATAAGATTTATATTGGGGAGTTTAATAAATACTGCCACAATCAAGTTCGCAATCAACTTAATTTTAAATAATGTTTCCCAGAAGCAAATCCGCATTGTACGTTATAAACTATTTACAGCGCAAACTAGTTTAAGTTGTTCATTTAAATTTATCTTGTGACGCATGAGAACAATTCCTTTATAAGGAAATGATGATAAAGTTGGAAAAATGCTGGTGAAATGTTTCGAAAATTGCAGAAAATGGAAAATGTAAAGAAAGTATTGTAAATATACGAAAAATTCCAATAAATATAAATGAATTTCTGAAAAAAACTATGACAGATTTGTGGAAATGGAGGAAAATTGCATGAAAAAATTATGTACCATCCTTCGGGGTGAGTTCCTAATAAATTACGACTTTATTTAATTTTCATGAAAGCATGTATAACGACGATGGTATAAAGAATTCCGGAGTGAGACTTCAAAATAAAACATTAGACTCTCGTAAATATTATACTAGCAGGTCAGTCCGGACTTGGCCAAGATAAATTATCTTTATAATGTGAGAATCCCGATATTCAAAATCCTCTCCTCGCTAATCCATCATCCCGAATACAGTTATTAATTTTGAAATTAATGTACCGCAATTAAAGTAATAAAGGCTCAAACCAACATTTAGCACGAAACTTTTTTCACAGTCCTGTTTTTTAAATATAGTGGAAAATTAAATTTTTATAATTCACGAAAAAACGTGCAATTCCCAAAATAAATATTAAATTTCAATTTATAAATATAAACTCTTAATTTATCAATGTCACAAAATTGAACGTCTACAAATAAAATTTGGATGATAATATAGCAATGCAACAAGTATCGTGGATACGCGCTCGACAATTATAGCGTATACGCTATAATTATAGCGTATATACACTTATCGTATATAGATACGCTATTCAAGACTTTTTTGAGGCAAAATTTATTATATCCCCAAAAGGATCGTATAATATAAATAATTGATTATAAATTTCATATACTCCTAGCATCCGACCTATAACACGCAAACGAACACAAGCTTTGAAAAATACGTATAAGATTGATTATAATATTAGTATAGGCTGGCAGAATTTCTTCTCTTAAGCAAGTTTTGTTAAAGATTGATTATAATAAAACCCGTCGGGACGAGTCAGGCAATATAATTAATGTTGTTGAAAAAAACTATTGAAGAAGTCTTTTCATTGCTTTTAACGAAGTCTATTGAATCAAAGGATGGAAACAGACTCTGGTTGTAAAAGACGAGCGCCGGGTCGTTTTTTCCTCAATTAGGGTGCGATGCGAGCAAAAGTCGCAAAAATTCGCTTTCGGGATTAATTCGAATAATTTGAAGTGGAAAACTCCATACAATTTAGGCGAACAAATTTTCGACGAATTCAACTGTGCATTTACGTATTATTCGTTTGACTGAGGATAACGTAATTAATCATTCAGCGACTTGATGAGACTAGTTTCTGCAGTAATTTCTCTCGTTATTCATCCAGCTAAGTGTCGGGAAATACACACGATTAAATGAAGTCGATTTCAGAAATAACAAGATGCAATTGCAGCCGAATGTGAATATCATGTATAAACAAGTAAGGCCTAGTCGCTACGACTAAGATGCGAGTGTACTGAGCTTGCTTACACGATAATTATTATATTATATTCTATTATATTATATTATGACTATTATACGCTTGCTTACACGATAAACACAAACAAGCTCAGGAGTTAATTTGGCGAACGATAAGCAGACATGCGTGCGTCTCAAATACGAGAAAATTACTGAAATAAACTATTTTACAGCTAGATAGAACTCAGTTCAGGTTGCAACAGAATCAGAGTTTGCATAATGGCATCAAGAGACATTTCTAAGCAGCCTCTAGTTTTTACCTCTCGTGTGGCGTCGGTATTAATAAATGGTCGAATTAAACAGAAACAGTATTGCCTGGTCAGAAGATGCATCATTGGCTGACCATTACATCCACAAACTGCAGGAGTTTTGTATCGATGGCTGGCGCAGCATTCAGGCATAACGCAGAAGCCTCAAGGAAGCCGCGCGTTATTCCCGCTGTTTGAATAATGGCATCAAGAGACTTTTCTAAGCAGCCTCAAGTTTTGACCTCTCGTGTGGCGTCGGTATTAAAAAATGGTCGAATTAAACAGAAACAGCCCTCAGAGGATGCATCACTGGCTGACCATTACATCCACAAACCAGGAGTATTGTATCGATGGCTGGCGCGGAGTTCGGGCATAACGCAGAAGCATAAAGGAAGCCGCGTGTCATTCACGTATCAATACCACAGGCGCACATTTTAGTTCTAAGTGAACTTTATAACAAACTCCGTCAACATGGGAGGCAACTTCCAACCCCTGAAGCAGACCATCAACTTTTTGAGGCAAAGAATCTTTAGAAGCTAGCAAACAATGGAGCTACCCCCACGTCAATTACTCGTACGTCCAAAGCAACGTTGAGAAGCCTCAAGTTTCCACCAGAAAACCCCATACAATTCCAACTGATGGGAGGCGAACGTGAAGATAAATCAATATAAAAATCGTCGGAAAAATTGAAAGCGGAGATCAGAGATAGACTCCTTATAGTTAAACCCAGGAAATGTAACATTTGCATTTAATTTTCCAGCACGGTCGCTATTGACATTTACAGCTTTTATCATCCAAGAATGATCAGCAAAGTATTCACTCTTCATTTTATGTCAATTATTATTCAAAATGAACTCTTCAAATATGGTTATAAGCCTGACATGAATGCACTCTCGCGTAATTATTATTCATTCACACATCATGTATATTTTACACGGTTTCCTGCCATTCACTTGCATTAATAAGGGAAAAAGTTCAAGGCCGAAATTTCCGACAGAAATGTTTCGTTACGACAGTCAGGTAAGCGCTGACGAGACCTTCTTCAGACCAGGTTATTCCCAGCAGAGTTTTCACTCAAGCTGCCTACAGCTTCTCCATTTATAATAGAGCTGCAGAATAAGTGATATAGTGCCGCGCAGGCTTTCACGCCACTAATGGCCGACTTGCATACCTAATGCATGATCTAAGATATTGAAACCTAGACTTCGTTTATTTCGTGCCAATATTATTCTGTAATTTTAAATTGGGTCAACGATAGATGGTAACAATTTTCATGATCACCTTTGCCTGAAAAATGTTTGAGAACTAACTTACTTTTCATTTAAAAAATTTATTATTACTTCATTATTCATTACTTTTCTTTTAAATGGGATATTATTGAGTAATTAGGAAAAAAGCCGTGTTGATTAAGCATAAAAGTCTTTCATCTTTAAATGTGTGGCTGGCGGCAAGCTCAAGAAAGCGAGACGAGTTCAATATCACATTTCGAAAGCAGTGCATGTTCAACGGTTCTTTCCAAGAGAAAGTATCCGTCAGGATATTAAAACTTGTGTAATGAGTTAGACGAAAGCAGATGCTTCAAGTTTTATGGCTATTCAACGGCAAAAATAGAAGGAGAAATTTTCATAATTGCCACTCGCTGCAATTCATCGCTAGAAAAAAACTCGCAACTGTCAAGATGCGTCAATTTTAGTTCAATTATTCACTTTTCTTTCAGTGCTTCATTAAAAAATGCAAGACAATCAATTAAGTCAAAAGAAAATATCGGTTCACTCTGCACTCAGAAGATTTACGACGTAAAGAGCTAATAATACTCAATTACAAATCTTAGCACAGTTTGCAGGCGCACTAAAGATTGAATTAAGAGTCGCTGTGTTAATGGAATACTGCAGAAATGTCGACACTTAAGACATCTCTCTACAAAAATGAGCATATTTTCCATATAGCCACAAGATATACATGCAAAGCTCATCTGCTTACATGCATGGGCATTCACTGGGAACCTTGTGTCACTTCTTTGTTAGGATTTCAATATTGTTTTGTCATTGTGCAATGATATTTGAATAAATAATAAAGCACGGAAACGAGATTACCTGGATAACTATGGAGCAGACGAGGCCGGCCTGATAATAATAACAACAATAATAATAACGATAATAATAACAACAATAATATCAATAATAATAGATGAATTGAACGACAACAAATAAATAGTAACGTAATTGAAGACTTATTGATTACTTGGACAGACCAGAAGCAGACGATGCCGGCCTGACAATATTAATAAAAACAACAGGAGACAAGCAAAATAAAAGAAACAAGTGAATAACGGTGCCGTTGAAGACCAAGTAATTACCTGGACGGTCCAGGAGCACACGAGGCCAGTCATTTAATAATAATAATAATAATAATAATAATAATAATAATAATAACAACAACAACAGATGAATTGAAAGACAACAAGTAAATAACGATGCAATTGAAGACCAAGTAATTACCTGGACGGTCCAGGAGCAGACGAGGCCGGCCGTTTAATAATAATAACAACAGATGAATAGACAGACAGCAAGTAAATAACGATACCGTTGAAATTTAGTAATTACCTGGACGGTCCAGGAGCAGACGAGGCCGGCCTGGTAAGGGCGCCTGGAGCCGTAGCCCGGAGTGTGGAGGCTCCTAAAGAAGGCGCGCTCGTGGGGGTGCGCCGAGAACTTGACGGGGTCCAACTCGAATAGGAACTGTCCTCCACACTCTGCGGGTCATATAGGGGATTCGGAATAAAATTTATAATTGTGTATTAATCAAATTAATGTTTTTATGGATTAATAAAAACTAGTATTCTAATATTTAATTATTGAATTTATGAATTCTTTAGAATGCAATGCAGGATTTGAGGAGGGAGACCCAGTGGTTACTATAGATAGGACCAGAGAGGCGCGGGTTTGATCCCAGCTCTGTGCGCCAGTTTCTGGTCAGAGTCGGCGAGGAGGCCGGGCGGTTAAACAAAGCAAAATTGGAGCAGTGAGTTGCGAGTTCGAGACCGCAACAAGCTGTGAATGTTCGGAGATGTTAAGAATCAGTGACAGGCCTACGGTCTAATAAACGCCGAAACCACCATTATTATTATTATTATATGAACGCCGTTTAATCGCGATAGTTCGTTGCTTTCAGACCGTACACTAATGATAATATTAGAACACTATAATTTGCATTTTCCTGTACGTTTCCCGATACAAAATTTCGACAAGGTATTATTATTTATATCATATAATTATATTCAATAATTAAAATATCATTGTTTTAGCTCATCTATATTGAAATCAATCAACAATTGTGCCGCCACAGGCTACCAAACTTCTCGTCTAATTCCCTAGGTGTTAACTGTTCATTCAAAGTAGAACATCGTCGCTTGAGCCACGAACGAGAACAATACGTGCGTCAGCAGACTAAATTCCGCTACATTTTTTGGTGATTTATCGGTTTAGCGTTATCGAAGCTAACTTTTCAGTTAGCGGATTAGCGGTTATCGAAGCTAGCTTTTAGGTTAGCTGTGCCCACCACTGCAGTTCAGAGTACTATAGATTGTAGCAGAGAGGTGCGGGTTCGATCCCAGCTCTGTGCGTCAGTTTCTGGTCAGAATCGGCAAGGAGGCCGGGCGGTTAAGCACAGCAAAATTGGAGCAGTGAGTTGCGAAATTTGACGCACAAGCTGTGAATGTTGTACGATGTTAAGAATCAGCGACATGCGAATCGCAATAGTTAGTTGCTATTAGAACGTACACTAATGATTATATTGGAAGTCTATCATTTGCATTTTCCTGTACATTTCCTGGACTTCTAAATAAATGACAAAATTTTGACAAGGTATTATTATTATTATAATATATTATTATATTCAATAATTGAAATATCATTGTTATAGCTCATCTGTATTGAGATCAATCAATTTTGCCGCCACAGGCTAACAGAACTTCTCGTCTAATTCCCTAGGTGTTAACTGTTCTTTCAAAGTAGAACATCGTCGCTTGAGCCATGAACGAGAACAATACGTGCGTCAGCAGACACGCAGAGCCATCCGACCATGATGTGAATTAAAACATTTACAGATCCCTCCAAGCATGTCCTATACAGGTCGAAATGAACGTGTGTGTCACAAACAATTGTAAAGGCATCGTTATGCGCTAATATCAGAGTGTGTTTATTCTAGACGGTTGCCGAAATCTTTTTAGTGAATGTTCCTTCGCTGTTATTTTTACTGTCTATGAAGAACAAGTCTGGGCAGCCAGGTTTGTTTAAATATTGTACGGAGTCTTTAGGGGGAACTCTGTTCTGTGCACTCAGAAAGCAACGCTAGAAAAAACTTCGCTACGATTTTAATGGTCTAAAGTTAAGCAATGAAAATCTTTCGTGAACTTTAACACAAAGAAACGAGGAAGCGCACACGTCGAAAGAAGCCGTCCATCCTTTCGCAGTGAATACGAAATGATTCATTCTGAAGCTCAGCTGCAGTCAGATGAATTATTCAAGAAAACGCATGATGAAGCAAAAACTTTGAGTCATAAATCTATATTATATACTTCAATTTAAACACTAGCACAACAACGCATTATTATTCAGTCTCTCCCTGCATTGATTTAATAATGGAATAATGATTAATTATTGAATAATGGAATTAATTATTATTCCATTGATAATGGAATAAATGGAAAAGAAAGCTATAAAATGACAATATCTAAAAATGAAAGCTATTCGTAACTTTTCAGCGTATGGGGATGTCTTGATTAAAAAATATTAATATGATCACTGGTTTTTCACTGCTGGCAATTCTTTTTCACGTTAATATTTTCACGTCATTTTTGATCCCTATAATCGAATTAGAGACGTCGACTTCATGTACTGTGCTTGCGATGCAAAAAGAACTGGAAAAATTACATAAGCGGTTGCCCTCTCATACGCCAAGCCATTCGCTCTCCGCCAGCGAGACAAATTTGCAATTTTTCCCAGTAAGTTCTGGCTCCACAGCAAATAAGCAAATAGAAACGGAAAACTATAGCTTGAAATTGACATTGACCAGAGGCTCCAGGGAGAACACTCGAGTGAATTAGGATAAAGAAGCTTACTGAGCCAGCAAGACTCGACTTTTTTATCTATACTTGCAGCCTCACAAAGTGTCGCATGTATAAAATAAGCTGAAATTCATTCACCAGTCTGGTATCGTTGAATTCAGTTTCTCGTTCAATTGAGAGTTTCTCGTCAACTACTTTGAAATGTTTGTTTACATCTTGAGAAAAAAATGAAAATTCTATAATTTAAATTATGTGCCGGTATAAAAAATCTATGCTAAGTAGCTTAGTGTAATATTTCAGAAACAAAACACTACCGCCGGAGAAATCGATCGCAGGGTAATTACTCAAAGAACAACCTTAAACATGAACAAAGAATGTCAACATGCAAATAATTCGGTATCAAATCCGGTTGGTAAAATCAAAGATAACTTTCCGGAAGCCAGAAGATCTCACGAGCGCAATAATAAGTTATTTGTAAGTCCTGCAAGAAGCAATAAAAAGACTATGGCAGGAAGCTCAGGCAAGAGACTGTAGGGAGAGAGATGTCGTCGCTGACAAGTAAAGGCATTAAAGGGAATCGCTGATTGCATTCTGAGAGTCGCTTTGACAGGGACGCTTGCAATGCGGGGCAGCGTACGGTGCTAGCTGATACACCAATAGAGACTGCAATAAACTTGTTAACTCGATACGTGCACATTACACCTAAACACAAGCATCGCTATAGCTGGAGTACATCTAGTCAGTGGTATAAGGCAGCTGTAGAACGGGAGGCATTTTGTAGCAGCCGTGATAGGATAGCAGCAGTTAAAAAAACAGTTCGCGCTACAAAATACGGCTAAAACAAAATGTACATATACAAACTAAAAATAAAAACGCAGCTATCCGATGAACCTGACTTGTCAATAGAACAGCAGGTTTATTTTACTATAATTCTGTGCTATGTAATTTGCAATCGAGTACATCTTCCGGAGATTTCGTCCTGAAAAAAATTGCAGTGAGGCAAAGAGTGAAATAGGTCTACATGAATGCCTCCGTCAAGTACGTGCGGACGCCGTGATGTGTAATTTGGAGCCGATCTTTGCTGCGATCCAATACTCATAAAAACCTCATAACGAGCAGATCAGAAGACCAACTCCCAAGAAGCAGACTTCAGGGCCTCGTGATGCGAGTTTACACCCCCAAGACTGATGGCTTCGGTGAAAATCATCCTCTATACAGTAGTTTTTTAGCGCAGATTATTTGGTTAATTGCCTCGTGATGCGAGTTTACACAAAGACTGATGGCTGCGGTGCAATTCATCCTCTATACAGTACTGTTTTTAGCGTAAATCAATTAAGCAATAGGAAAGCATGGGCAGATTATTCGGTGGTCAATCGATCAACAACCCACAGTTTATCACACACGATTACCCCTCTTAAAATTAGCTCTTCGTGTTCAGCCAGATAAGAACTTTTAAAAAACGGAATTTCATTGATATTTCCAATAGAAAAATAAATTAAAAACTTTAATAGCTGAATTACATTTAGATACTGTCTTCATTAAGCCATATTTTAGCTCAACTGCCGCATTTGAATTTAACCTAATTGAATTGCTAGAATAATATTCATTTTAAATACAATGTACAGGTTTGATGAAATCAACCCCCAGAATAATAAAATTTCTAGGTCCAATGCAAAAGATACAAATCACACACTATTTACGAAAGGAACCACAATCCTTGGTTGTACACGACGCAATTTATCGTCACAACACACGAGCTGGAAGCCCCCAAACAAATTGAATTACGACAGCACCACCTCACCCGCTTCCACAGATCTCAATTTTTACCCTTCGCTAGAGGAGACCAAAGTGACAAACGAGCGTCGAAAATTTCTGGGATGCTGTACCTCCAGCACAGCTTGAGCATAGGAATAATGGTATCCTGGAGACACAGGAATAATTGTTTGCAACTTAACTGGAATTGGAGATACATTTTTTTGTGTAGAAACAATAGCACACGAGACGCTCAAATAATTTACGGCATCGTTAGAGCTAGAAAAATAGTAGGTACCTGAAAATGTAACCTTTTTGACATTTTTCGTGTAACACGGAAAATCAAGCGGAACAATGAGGTAAAAACAATGGGGATTTATGGCGGTTTGCAAGTTTGATTATTGTAATTTGGATTGCGACAATTAATTAAATTTGAACTCGAATATTAAATTCGAATATTAAATTCGAATTTGAATACTAAATTCGAATTCGAATCTGAATACTAAATTAGAATTCGAATAGTAAATTCAAATTAAGAAGCAAGGTACACCCACCGTTCGTATCAGGGAGATCCACCGAGTTGTCCGTAATGTCGTCGCCAGGTAGAGGGTTAGTCTGCTCAGCGTCTTCTGCTCGTCTGTACCAACTGCAGACAGGAAGCTCAGTATTCAGTACAACGTCGGCAATTTATACAAACTACTAATGATTAATATTAATCTAGATATTAACTATTAGATGAAAACTCTTGACCGATGGAAATAATTGACACTAAACGAGATACAAAATATTAAGAACATGAGCGCGCTGTGGCAACTTCATAATTAATCTCAAAAATATAATGAAAATAATAAATATTTTACCGAATAATAATAATTTAATAACATATTAGTAAAACATTATTTATTAGAGCTCGCTTAAAAATATTATGAACCAATATCGAAAAAGCTCGAGACGCTCAAATAATTTACGGCATCGTTAGAGCTAGAAAAATAGTAGGTACCTGAAAATGTAACCTTTTTGACATTTTTCGTGTAACACGGAAAATCAAGCGGAACAATGAGGTAAAAACAATGGGGATTTATGGCGGTTTGCAAGTTTGATTATTGTAATTTGGATTGCGACAATTAATTAAATTTGAACTCGAATATTAAATTCGAATATTAAATTCGAATTTGAATACTAAATTCGAATTCGAATCTGAATACTAAATTAGAATTCGAATAGTAAATTCAAATTAAGAAGCAAGGTACACCCACCGTTCGTATCAGGGAGATCCACCGAGTTGTCCGTAATGTCGTCGCCAGGTAGAGGGTTGGTCTGCTCAGCGTCTTCTGCTCGTCTGTACCAACTGCAGACAGGAAGCTCAGTATTCAGTACAACGTCGGCAATTTATACAAACTGCTAATGATTAATATTGATCTAGATATTAACTATTAGATGAAAACTCTTGACCGATGGAAATAATTGACACTAAACGAGATACAAAATATTAAGAACATGAGCGCGCTGTGGCAACTTCATAATTAATCTCAAAAATATAATGAAAATAATAAATATTTTACCGAATAATAATAATTTAATAACATATTAGTAAAACATTATTTATTAGAGCTCTCTCAAAAATATTATGAACCAATATCGAAAAAGCTCCGTTAATAGTTCAAAGAATAAGCATAGGTAATTCATCAAAAAGTTTGCGTACTCCGCCCCTGGAGAGTCGGGCAGCAGGGAAAAAGGAAACCTAATGCATAATTCCGGCTGACCTGCCCTTGAGGAAGGGTTTGATGGGCAACACGCCATCGTCTTGGGGTTGACCATTACGCTGCAAATGCTGCAAAGCAATGCGCTGCCGATGCAGCACCAACTGTTGCAGCGAGTCTTGCTGCAACGCGCTCAAAGATTGCAGCTGCTTACGTTGAATCCACGATTCCTTGTCAATACCGTCAGTTGGAGAAACTAAATGCGAGTTTGTGTTAGGACGATTTGGAACTTCCTTCTTGGTAATCGGGACAGAATTTATGAAGCTCTGGGGAACGTGCAAGTTCTGCCGGCGTAAAGTTTTAATGTTGGTCGATGTGTCTTCGGAAAGGCTATCAACGTCACGTTCAAACGCATTGGAGTGGATGCTCAAGGATTCTGATGGATCTTTGTTTATAATAGGCCCATAAACTTCATGGTTGATATTACCATGCTTGTTAGTTGAATCTTTATTCACTAGAGTCTTATTAATGCTTCCGCTGTGCGAGAAGTGAAAAGTTTTGTTTTTAATTTCGATGAGCTGCTTTTGATTTTCTTTCAGTTCCTGCAAGTACATTAGCTGGTCGTATTCATCTGATTCGCCATTCTCTACGTCATTACGAACAAAATTATCATCATTTATTTTCAACCTCTTTTTCAGAATTTGATTCTCTAAGTTCCGGGAATTATTTTGATTTATTTGTTCGTTGATGATGTTAGTTTTTGCAACTTGCAATTCTGCACTCGTATCGTCTTGGTCGCCTACAGGCACGCTGCTGCTCGAGGTAACTTTCATTTGTGCTTCATCGGTTGCTTGTTTGAGTTGAATAGCTTGTTCTTGCTTGAATTTCTCATAGAATTCATTTCGTTTTTGTATATCGGAGGGACTTAAAGTTGGTCGAAGGGGATGAAAAATTGGCACTTCTCGGCGGTCGTGCATCAGCTGGTTTGAGAATTTTATTTTCTCTTCCTTTTGATTTTGCCGCTTAGAGATGTTGATAGGGAATTCAGGCACAGAAAATGAAATGTCCGAAGGTTTTACATTCGTTGAAAAATTTCCTGATTTTTGAGAAGCAATTCCTGTGGCAGGAATTGCTTCAAAGATTACAGGGGGCCTGGAAATGGTTGACATCAAGTCAGCTCTCTCCAACGTCGATTTGTTTGGTACAGTGAAAGAAGAAGTTGATGATATCAAGTCCTTATTCAGGGCCAAACCCAACCCATTTGCTGCCACGTTATCGAGGCTGAGCCGCATTGCGGGCGACGACGCTGCATTGTTCCAACGTTCAGCATTATCCTCACCGCTGTATCCAAAATTGGCTACGGTTCCTCCAACTTTGACTTCGGTTCCACCAACTTTGACTTTGCTTCCTCCAATTTTGCCTTCGGTTCCTCCAACTTTGACTTCGGTTCCACCAACTTTGACGTCCGTTCCTCCAACTTTGGCTCCGGTTTCTCCAACTTTGACTTCGGTTCCTCCAACTTGGGCTCCGATTTCTACAACATTGGCACCGCTTCCCCCAATATTAGCTGCGGTTCCTGCAACATTGCCTCCGCTCCCTAAAACATCTACAGAGTTTCCTCCAACGTTAGCGCCGCTTTCTCCAACATTGGTATAATTTAAAAAGTTGTCAGAAAAATGATTCGCATCAGCTCCGAAGGTGGCAGAAGAATTTTTGTAGACAGGCTTCATTAATATTTCGGGCAGGTCCTTAAAATTCGTCCCAATAACATGATGGCCTCCATTAACCGACTTTATCGAAGAGGCAACGATGGGCTTGTTTTTCTGCGAGTAGACGGCATCACTCTTAGAATTGTAACGAAGACGAGCAGGCTTGTGGATGGTCGGAGCCTGGTGTTTTTTTGGTGACATGCCGCGCGCTTCTTCTGTGGCTCTGAAAAAACCAATTACATCTTTGACATCCGGAGCCAGAGAATAACATCACACTGAAAAAATGATGGACATGGTAATAATCCTGCGTTGGCTCGAATAATAATGCTGAGATTCTTAGCAGTTATCGGTAGTCACACATAAATCAGTAAGTGAAGATGTCATAAGCCAATTTCTGAACGGTCATGTCATTCGATTACAGCAATCAAACTTAACTAACAAAGTCACAAATTATTACCACAAAATACACTAAATGTCTGGGCGCAACATTTCACCGGACAAAGTCACAAGAAAATTAAATCACCCGCTCATTTTGGTAGCCGAGGGATGATCGCTGAATTGCCTGACGCCCATCAGGCCTGCCAATATTTGGGCTCAGTGACCTAAAGCTATGACGACGCTCTCTACCGAGAAAAATGAGTGTGACTTTGTCCGAGTAGCGATGCGCTTTCTATTCTGGTGTGGGACATCTCTCAGCTTGGCTCGGCAAAAGTGCGTATCAGAAAATTTTGACCTAGAACCTATGACCTAGAAATTTTGACAATATGAACAAACCTTTTTTAGTGCAGCGCAACGTCTCTAACACGCTTATGACTTTCGTGGGCGTTAAATTCGTCTATTCTCGCGCATAGATTTGCGCTTAATAAATACAGTTCTAACATACAGATGTGAAAAAGGGTTCCATTTTCAATGTAATTAGACATCAGAATGAATATTAAATGATCTGTAGCGCTGAGCCGCTGCCTCACCTGTCGTAAACCGAGTCGTGGCCAGAGAAGTGAGGGTCGTGGTAGGCCCAGATACGAGCGGGAGAGGGCGCCGTGCGGGCCAGCTTACGGTCCCGGGCTTGGCCCAGACGTAGCAGCATCCCGTAGAAGCTTCCTGAGAATTAAAAATAGTATCACATAAGTATCGTTGTACATAATTAAACCATCAGCGTCGGTTGCGAGGGTTGAAAAAAACGCAATTGTACGTCGTAAATTATGAAAATATGAGGGTCATTCCATAACCATCATCCACGTATAGCACTACAACATCATCACTTAACGAGGAACTTCATGTCATTGAACATCAGCTCTGACTGACATCAGCTAGTATACTAACAATCATCACAGCAACATACTTCATTATTACACGAGCACTAAGTTCATACCATACTGCCGGGCACGTGCCAAGCATCAGCCAGTAACAGTCCAGTACAATATTCTTTAATAATTTCTATAGAAGCATTCACACCATGGGCATGGCAGGTGCCTTGAACGGCTGGTGTGAATGCTTCAAAAGAAATGCATTTAAGAATATTATACTGGATCGTGACAGGCATATGCCCGGCAGTTTGTTGCGAACCCGGCCTCAATGTATGTACAAAGCCTGCGTTGCAGCGAGGTTTCGCACAACCGCTTCTCTTAAAGAGGGTTCAGAGTTGGATAAATCCGTATCAAATAACATTTAATGAAATGCAATGCGATGCAGGGCATCAATTAACGAGAGTTAATTAGCAGCAGCAGGAATAAGGGCAGCAATAAATGAACAACAGCTGCTGAGCTCAGCAGATTATCAAGAGCTGCTGCAGCCGCAAAGCCAATCAGCCCGAGATCTGCAGGCTCAAACTGTGCATTACGGTACTGTTGCGGGAGAACAGTCGACGGATAAAGTCGGGACATATTGTGTAGAGGTACGACGAGAGTTCATGCACAATGTTTTAAGTTTGCTTGAATGACGCAAACCTATTATGTAATTATTGCACGCAACCATCATCCCATTCACGGTATTATTCTTGTACACTTTTTCATTTTTCTTAAATTTATATTTCAATGATTTTATAACAGACTAATAATAATATTACAAAAATGAGAATATCAAGCGTATTATGTTAGCTGTACCCACCAGGATAGGTAGCACCAAAGGCGTCCAACATGACAGGAAGCAGCAGCGGGAGGATGAAGAGTCGCTCCACGTGAAGCATGTCCGGAAGTTTCAAAATCACTTTGGCGCAAGATACTTCAGAATGTCTGATAATTATTGGTTATTTTAATATAATACAATAATAATTGATTAATTCGATAGCCTAGCTTGCTTTAATTCTCGGGTCGTTACGATTCAACAAATTTCTAGAGTTTTATACGTTCCAAGTACACTGTGTTTCAATGGAGGATCTAGGGTAAGTATCCTTATACACGTATTATTTTAGATGAATTAATATTGAAGATGTACTGAACTGAACAGATGATTCACAATGAATCACATTTAATTTTTCATTTTAAAAAATTCCATTCATTCACTGAAAAAATTATTGAACGTCACTCAATTTTCCTAGTTCCTTGTTAGATTTTTACCAAAGTTTGTTAATTGTTTACACCTGCGTCATTTTAATTAAGATTGAAGACTATTAAACGTAATCTTTTACTCCAGTAAAATTTAGCTTAAAACACTTAGGAGGCATGAGCTAAAACAGTTTAGTCGGCTTACGCAGACTCTGAAAATAAAACATTGCATGTCAGACACAAAATTTCAGTAGGTTGATGAATCAACAAATGACGAAAGAGAATTTCTGACCAAAAGATAATTTGCGTGATTTTTTCTTAAGAACAAGTTTTATATAATTATAATATTTACATAAATAAAAATGAAAATTATATAAAGTTATAGTGTAGTATAGCTTATCAATACATACAGTAAGATTACCCGCGACTTGATTTTTTAGCGTAAAAGAAAAAAAAAGCATAACAACCTAACACAAATTAAAAAAGTCACGGGAACCCGTACACATCAGTTCTCGCTCAGATAAACAGCAGGACAAAGAAGTTATTCTCTGCACGCAGGCTGTGCTCACCGACGCCAGACACTCGGTATAACTGCTCGGCTTTTGTTTGTCTTCAAAATCGCAAGGCAATGCAACTGAACGCCATATTGCATGCGCTCAACTCAATTTGAATTCCTAATTACGGCAGTAAATGAAATGTAAACATATTATTCTTTATTATAGTATGTACATTATTTAATTTATTCGGATTCTTAAGGTAGCGTTTTCATTCAGACAAGTTTAATTAAAAATAATGTCATTATTATTTGAAACTGCTATACAGTTTACGAGTAGTTTCTCCAGCTGTCTAATAATTGGTACAATGGAAGAGTCAACGAGAAAAATTTCTCCAAATAAGAGGCCTATTAACTCAGGCGACGGGAGAGGCCTATAAAATCGCAGATCCTCTTCAAGATGTAAAAATAAAAACAGCTACGTAGGCGAATAGCTTTAGGATATCTGCAGATGAAAGACTAAATTGACGTAGTGAATGAAGAAAGAGCAAGGTTTTTGTACAGTCTAGTACGTGTAAGCAGGTATATTGCTGCAAAGCTTCAAAGGACATTGAGATCCAGTTGATAAGGTGTTTGTATGTGGATTATTGCACACGATTCGAATTGATTCTATTAATTGTAGTCTGATGAGGTCCGGTTTGTGACGTAGAATTTTATTTATATTATCGTATATTATTTATTAGCGAAATATTTATTTGATCATTAATTTCGGTCCAAATACTTTCTACCGATTTCTTTTGTTCGTGCACTTATTGTGAACGCTGACTGCGCATTTCGGCTTCATTTTACATACAGTAATACTATTGTGTATAACTCGACAGGAATGAGGAGTACAACGATATTAAGATAACAAAAATTACTTCCATGATAGTAGCTGTCAATAAGCTTGAAATATATTCTCGAACACAAAGGCTACGAATTAATTCATCAACCTCACAATTTAATAGCTTTTCTCACGACCAAAACTCAACGAAGACCACGCAAGTTATTTCAGTTCTCAGTCTGGTGCAAGAGCATCTGTGTGCGCGCGAGCGGATCTTTCATGCTCCCTGAAACCGTTCTTTCCGGTGAGAGTTTTTCACGCCAGTTTTTATTGCTCATATAGGAAAGGGAGGCCTATACCGCGTCTCGTGTGCAGGTCCTATGGTTTGCGGAATTAGTGGGATGGCACTGAATAAAAATCGTTATTCCAATGCTCGTAGCGGTCACTATTAAGAATATAATTATCAAATTATCGGCTATAATTGCTTGAGAGAACAGATAGCTGTAGAACAGATGAAAATGGCTTTGATAATTAATTTTGATCGTTATTCTGACGAAGATTCAACAACTGCGTTTCGCTTATTAGTTACGCAACTAGATATCTGCGTGAATAGTTTCTGAATTTCAGTCTTTCAGATTTTGCAAATAAATGGGAAAATCTGAATATGGCACTGAAAACAAAATTATCAACATGAGAGTGTATTCAATCAGGATTCAATTTATTTGCTAACGATGCAATAATAACCCGCGAGCTCAGATGAGAACAGTTACCAGCGTCAGCTGTGCCGGCAGCTGTCACCCGCACAGCCGTTAAAAAAGTTCCGGTGAGTGGGAATGAGAGTCCGGAAATTTTGCTCAAGTTAACCAACCGAACGCGGGCCCAAAAAGCAAGCGCTGCAAGTCCTTGCGAAGAATTTGACCTTCAACTTATTGGAAGCATCCCGACTTTGAAAAAAAATGTATTTGAAAGTTGAAACGGAAATTAATTATCTATAATACCATACATAAAATTAGTAGGAAACAATTTTCTTTTCGAAGATACGAGGAAAAAACTTCACAACTTACATCGCTGGAAGGCTACTAACTTCGGAGACTCGAAACTGCAGTTCTAACAAATAACTTCTGAAATCTTGCTTTCAATATCATATATAATATTGCTTCATCTTAACTTCATACCGCGAGCTCTACTTGCAAAGATTGACGTTTCACACATTGTCAAAATTCGGATGTCAGACATTGCTGAAATTGTTTCCAAAACTTGAGCTAAATAAAAGAAGGATCCAACACTGCTAACATGAATCTAAAATGGCTTTAAGAACCCCAGATAGAGTTTAGCAACGTTTGTATCTCGGGCTTCAATCACAAGACTCCAATTAAATGCCAGAAAGATTTTGACTCTCATACGGCAATATTTTCAGGAATAACTTGCTTGGTTCTGTTTCATCGCGAGTGCTCGACGTCTATTTGATCAGAGCTGCCAACTTTCCCCGATTCTCAAATTGAATTTTGAATGAGGACACTGCTCGATACTCAACTAAATGTTTTTCAGTGAAGGAAGAGATTCGACATGACTTCTTCAGAAGACAAATCGGAGAAGCTGTCAAGCTATTTTGTTTTCCGTACCACAGAGATTGAGACACAAAGTAAACGGATTGCGATTGTGCTTCACGGTCACGTATTTTGAGCGCTGGATTGTGTCTGAAGGGGGAAATTCAATCAAGGTTTTTTGTAAGAAGAGACTAAATTGAACGTCGAGATCAACTTTCAATGAGGCAGTGCAGTTATCATTAATGAGGCAATGAGAGACGAGCGATCACCAATGCCCTAATTAAGATGTCCTTCCGCTCAATGTATTCTAATTTCCAAACAACGCATTGCTCTTTTTACCATTAATAAACCAAAACACAACAAGTCTTTAAGAAACGTCAAATTTCGGTCATTATTTCCTCAGCAGGATGATATATATAACTTATGCCTGGTATGCACAATGCAATGAATGACACAATGCAAGTTTAATTTTAAAAAGCAAATCATGGTGCAAAATTAGCTGGAAAACCAAGCCCGGCATGCGTCACTGCTACGAGTCTCAACTTCTGTCGTAACTCTGGCCGGGGTGAGAAATCTTTGGAGGAAGCCCGCATGACTGCTGAGCGCTTAAACCTAAACTCGCGGCATTTGTCAACGTACGGACAACGCTGCCCATGCGTTTATCCACGACGCGCATTCGAGGCGAGCAAGGCTTATGGATTCCCGAAAATTATTGAACATTATTCATTAATCATGAAAAGATGATTCGCACTTCGTGAGTGCACTGTTTCTGACATTTCAATCGCGACAATACTAGAAAGTGGCAGGTGTAAAAATCTAGTCTCATCAATTCGAAATATTAAATACTTTAAAATTAACCATCAAAGTCAATCTTGTCGCAGTTTATCAAAGTCACAAAGCCGCAAGATGGAATTAATTTAGCAACATTGAATATAAACTGCAAGGCCTAAGCTTTCATGTTATATTCAAGTTAAATCAAAGTGCATCGGTAAAACATTTGCCATTAAATTGCGGTCGATCAAATATCATGCGTCATGAGCGTGACAGCATCAATTTATTTCCATTTCTCCATGATGCATAAATAATCAAATGCAAGTCAAAAAATCGAATAAAACTTACAGTTCAGTTGTGGGAGTAAATCCAATCAGGAAAAAACTTTTTACTCTTATCAGCCAGACTTGAGGCGACAGTGTAAAGAAGTTTCCTCGGCAGCTCTCCAATCATATTTATAAGTTGTTTCATCCTAAGTGCTGCCTATTAGAGCAGTCTTAGTTCTCGTGCAAGTCGTAAAGAAACGTTACGTTGCTGCCCATTAGAGCAGTCTTAGTTCTCGTGCAAGTCGTAAAGAAACGTTACGTCCTCCGAGCAGGGCGGCGCACTGTAATTTTGAGGCGCGCTGTTCTTCTTCGCTTCGTACTAGCGGTGCGATAAAATACATTCCAGGCGACCCGGAAATAAATAATTTTTGTTCCGAAAAAGTTCTCTTGTTCCGAAAAAGTTCAGCAATAAAATCGATTATGTACTGAATTTAAATAAATGGTTATTTAGTGAGACGGCTAGCGATGCTGTTAAATATAATTCAAGTGAAACAATTGATAACTTTTAGACAGAATGAATGTGTATATACATGATGAAGTTAAAAATTTGTCAAAAAGAAGTCTTTACAGAAACATTTGAGCTGCAACTTCATGAATAAGAAAGCTTCATGCTCGTAAAATAGCTTCCCAAAAATAAATATAAACAATTATTCTCCACTAATTTGTAGAGGACGCTAGATGTATTCATCAATCGTAAAGAATTGGCTAGAGATTTATAGCATCTAGACTGCCTTATAGTTTGTCACATGCAATAACTAGCGGCACAAACTTGGTATCATCATATGACATGCTTTAAAGTCCATTATCTGCCACTACGTAATACTTTCCCTCGCTTATAGTTTAACGTTTGTGATGGGTTATTATAGGAGCGCGTTGGTGGTTAATCTTAATCTCAAGTCGCAGGTGCGCCTTAAAATTGCCGCGCGCGCTGAGAAATTTCCTGCCGCCTGCATGCTCAGCGTCGAAGACTTTTAGGGTTACAACTCGATCCGTGTGCGGTGTTTATAATGTGCAGTGTAGTAGCCAG